GTTCTTGCTAATTGACCAGTTTTACATATTCGGCACGACATATCTATATATATATATATATATATATATATATATATATATATATATATATATATATATATATATATATATATATATACATACACACACACGCAGTATCCTATGCATGGTTCTTCACAACAAATATTCAACATTATTTTAAATGAAATATGAAATGAAATAAGAACATCATTTTGATACAGATATAAGTGAAAGGAAGTTACATTAGAGTAATAATGTTACAAACACAAAATAAAAATTGTAATGAGGGCGCGAGTGTTACTTTTTCACTAGTTAAGAGCGGCAGATCAAGTTACTGAACCACCAAGGGTAGCACTTGCCTTCATCAGTGTGTGGTGCGTGTGCTACCACTGTCACAACCTACCAAACATCCACCTACCGACACAACCCACTGAATACCGTCAACATCGGTACTATTCACCTGGTAATAGTCGTGGACCGGGCCGCGGGGACGTTGACCCTCGGAATATCCTCCAGGTATACTCCAGGTAACACCTGCCACCAACGATACAATCCACCAAACACCTGTCACCAAAGTCAAAGCCCACTAAAAACAAACTATAACTGCAAAATCCACCAGACACCTTCCATTCTGATCATAACTCATTGAATACCCACCCATCGGAGCCACCAAGGACCCGCCAAACAAACCACAACCGCCAAATCCACCAAATACCCGTCATCACCACCACCACAACCTTGATCAAAACCCGATAGCGAGATTAACAATGCAGCGTACGTTGTTGACACAGTCCACTGTATAAGATATGTGACACCCGTTATAAAGTGTACACTGATGACACTCCATGTATGGTACGCTTGTGTCAAAATCCATGCAACGAGGAACGACGCTGACACGGTCATTGAATGGTACAATGGTGACAATATCCATGGATGTTACAATGTTGACACTGGCTATCCGTGGAGGGTATGCTGGTAGCATTCTCCACGTAGGGTACATTTGGCATCACTCTCCATGTAGGGTACACTGGTAGTGCTCTTCATACAGGATACACTGGTAGCACTCTCCATACAGGGTACACTGGTAGCACTCTCCATACAGGGTACACTGGTAGCAATCTCCCTACAGGGTACACTGGTAGCACTCTCCATACAGGGTACACTGGTAGCAGTCTCTATACAGGGTACACTAATAGCACTCTCCTTACAGAGTGCACTGGTAGCGTGCTCCATACATGGTGCACTGGTAGGAGTGTCCATGTAGGGTACACCGGTAGTACTCTTCATAAAGGGTACACTGGTAGCACTTTCCATGAAGGATACATGGGAAGCACTCTCCATACAGGGTACAACTGAAGCATTTTCCATACAGGGTACACTGGTAGCACTCTCTATGTATGATACAGTGGCGGCACTCCATTTATGATACAGTGGAGGTAGTACTCTTCATAAAGAGTACACTGGTAGCACTCTCCATACAGGGTACACGGGTAGCACTTTCCATGTAGGGTACAAGGGAAGCACTCTACATACAGGGTACACTGGTAGCACTCTCCATGTATGATAGTGGCGGCACTCCATGTATGATACAGTGGAGGCACTCCATGTATAATACAGTGGAGGCACTCCCTGTAGGATATAGTGGACGCATTCCATGCATGATACAGTAGAGGTACTCCACGTATGATACAGTGGATGCACTCCAAGTACGATACAGTGCATGCACACCACATATGATACATTGGACGTACACTCCATCTATGATACTGTGGAGGCACTCCATGTATGATACAGTGGTGGCACTCCATGTATGTCACAGTGGAGGCACTCCATGTATGGTACAGTGGAGGCACTCCATGTAAAATACGGTGAAGGCACTCCATATATGATTCAGTGGAGGCACTCAGTGCATAATACAGTGGAGGCACTGCATGTATGATACAGTGTTGGCACCCTCCATATGTGATGCATTGGAAGTACTCTCCATATAAAACACAGTGGAAGTACTATCCATGTAGGACACAGTGGAAGTACTCTCCATGTAGGATACAGTGGAAGTACTCTCTTTGCAGGATACAGTGGAAGTACTATCCATGTAGGACACAGTGGAAGTACTCTCTATGTAGGATACAGTGGAAGCACTCTCTATGTAGGATACAGTGGAAGTACTCTCCGTACAGGATACAGTGGAAGTACTCTCCATATAGGATACAGTGGAAGTACTTTCCATGTAGGATACAGTGGAAGTACTCTCCGTGTAGGATGCAGTGGAAGTACTCTCCATGTACGATGCAGTGGAAGTGCTCTCCATGTAGGATACAGTGGAAGTACTCTCCATGTAGGATGCAGTGGAAGTACTTTCCATGTAGGATGCAGTGGAAGTACTCTCCATGTAGGATGCAGTGGAAGTGCTTTCCATGTAGGATACAGTGGAAGTACTTTCCATGTAGGATACAGTGGAAGTACTCATCATGTAGGATGCAGTGGAAGTACTCTTCATGGAGGATGCAGTATAAGTACTCTCCATGTAGGATACAGTGGAAGTACTCTTCATGTAGAATGGAGTGGAAGTACTCTCCATGTAGGATACAGTGGAAGTACTCTCCATGTAGGATGCAGTGGAAGTACTCTCCATGTACGATGCAGTGGAAGTGCTTTCCATGTAGGATACATTGGAAGTACTCTCCATGTAGTATACATTGGAAGTAGTCTGCATGTAGGATACATTGGAAGTAGTCTCCATGTAGTATACATTGGAAGTACTCTCCATGTAGTATACATTGGAAGTAGTCTGCATGTAGGATACATTGGAAGTAGTCTCCATGTAGTATACATTGGAAGTAGTCTCCATGTAGTATACATTGGAAGTAGTCTCCATGTAGTATACATTGGAAGTACTCTCCATGTAGTATACATTGGAAGTAGTCTGCATGTAGGATACATTGGAAGTAGTCTCAGTGTAGGATACAGAAGAAATACTCTCCGTTTTCGGTACACTGATGACACTGAGTTTATCTAGTTTGTTTTGGTAAAATGAATCTGGCGGTGACTTGTAGAATGCGGTGAAGCAACAGTTATGAGAAACTCCAGTGAGATAGCAAGTCACTGAGTGCGTTTATTATTTTGAGTAAATCGAAGATATATACACAAAAACAGTAAGGGTACTATGGTAAACGAAATCCGGATGTATAAAATTATAATTATACATTAGAGTGCAAAACAAGTAATGCTAGGAGAGTGGAACGTCACTATCAGTACTACGTAAGATGTATATTGCTTTCAAAAGAAGTGTTTTTGACGTCGCTCTTGATAAATCAAGATTCAGTAATCCTCAGCAGGTTCAGAATCTCGATAATAGAATAATTCAGAGCTGCACTCGGAGGGGGTAAAATGTTATTTAGGAACTGATCTGATTATCAATTTCTTGTCCCTAAAATGTTAATAAATAATGTACACTGCATTTATAATATGGCTATTAAAAATTCAGTGATTGAAGAGCAGTATAGGAAAAGTTGAATAAACTGAACAGTTATGGGCCTAAATTATTACAAACTTAATAACGATCTCCGCAATTTTTTTTTTATTTTATTGAGAGCATATCTTGTACAGACATAATACATGTATATAGTATAACACTGTGGAGAACAATAAGTACATTCATAAATTATCACACACACGTTGTTGAACACAGGAGAAGAAACCCGTCACGAACAAAACAAAAAAGAAAGACCATCAAGCACACTATACATCACTCAAGTCAACTATCAATTAGAGGAAAAATGAAGGGCGGTTCTCACTGAGAGGAAAGTGAGTAACAGGTAAAGATAAGTAAATTTAATATGAGAAAGTGTTATGTATCGACGATTTTAATGGAGTGTGAAACTTCAATATTAATAACATTGACTTTGATAATCATTTTGAACAGTTGTTTACTGATGGATCATTACATCTTCTGATTATTAAATTAAAAGTCGAAAGTCAGTTCAAAACTGTATATCATTAACCTGTTATGAATTATTTTAATTAAACTGGTCAATTAGGTTGTAAGAAGTATTATTCTCTTCACTCTAATCTACGGTAATATCACTAATTATTTTGTATAAGCCTTAATAAAAATATAAATATTAGATAATGGTTAAATTTGTTTGGCTGTCATTTCCTGTTACCATCGCAGATAACACACACTTCAAATTAGAAGAAGCATTGTATTGCAAAGAATATGCAAATGAAAGGTTAAAAACAGTGCATGTTTTCGCTGGTAGATGAAACACACTTATAATATGAAAGGTGGGAATAAATGACTGAATACAATAGTGGCCAGGATTCTTTTCGCTTACCTTTATGTTTGGTAGGTGCTGAGACAACTTTAATATTAACGACAGTGTAAAGTGTGAGGGCAAAGGAAGAGGGAAAAAAAACACACTCTGGTACTATACCTAAGTATGTAATACAGTACAGGAAATCAGAATTAGTACCATAACAATTTATGAACAATTTAATCATCTTGTAGCTAAGAATTAGGTGCTTATTAGATCATGGTATTTTATAAATGTGGTGACACCTGAGTGTTAAAACATACAGGCAATAATGTGACAGTTTGGGATAATGTGTAGTGTCTTCATAGCGATGTATTATCTCACAGAATGTACAATAAATTCGCCCGCCCCTCGGAGTAATAATATAATTGACAATGTGATGACAGCAACCAACAGAAAATACTGTCTTGCTTGGTTCCTTATAACAAATGCAAAATATTCTCTTAAATTCAGTAAATACTAACCTTTTCTCATTGTGCATCCAGTGTTAATATTTTGTTAGTGGGAAGGATTGTAAAGGACCTGCCTAGTATTGGCCAACAGGCCTGCTGCAGTGTTCCTCCTTTCTTATGTTCTTAAAATACAATTGCCTTTGGATTCCTTTGAAACAGCGTGTGTAAACTTACCTCTCCCTTAAACGCTAACACACCTCCACCCACGCGCTCATAACACTCATGGACTTACTTGTAATGCGAGTGAGAGTGGGCGTTGGTGGAAATCTTCTCGAGAACGAGTACATCCTGACCGTGTTCCTTGAGTCTGACTGTGTTGGCTTCCACGTCCCTCATAATTCGATTAAAGTCGCCTTTGTCCACACGTAGGAAATGGCAGTTGTCCTCGTGGAGTATAATGGTCGCAGCTCTGAGGAAGAGCACACGTTCTTAGGTGGCGAGAAGACAAGATAACGTAAAGCAGGGAGTCTTCCGAGAACAAAAGTGGGCAAGATTCAGGTGGTGGGTGATGGAAAACTCAGGTCGTGTTAGTGTGAAGTTCGACGAGGTTAAGGCGGAGGACAGTTGCCAGTGGTAGATTGGATATGGGAAAAGGAAAAAGAACCATTTAGGATTTTGTAAAAAAAAAAATTACCTGCATATATAAGAAGACATTTTTAGTAAAAAACTATGAGCAGAAAGTGATAGAGTCCGGTGACATGAAGGTGAATAATACTGTGACTCAGTGCACAACTAGATTATTTTTCTATTACTGTATTTTATTTTCGTCACTAGCTCAAAACCTTGCGTCACGAGCTCAAAAGATCGAGGCTGAACTGTTGCGCCTGAGAAAGGTCAAACAGCAATTATGAATTCTATTGCATAACCAAAGCCTTCCCACCAAGACTCACTTGAGCTCTTCATAACTTTCACCATTATTTTTTTTTTTTTTAGAATTTAACAAAAGACTCAAGGAAACCACAGTGAGACTAAATAAAACAGAAATCTGAAAATCTCTAAATGGAGCTACAGTCTCTCAGTGCCACTCTCAATGGAACTCTCCGTTTCACTCTCCATGGTACCCTCTCAACAGCATTCTTAACGGCACTCTTTGTGTCACGGTGGAATTCTTATAGTGGAATTCTCTCAAGCGCCTTCTCTCAGCGACATTTTCTCAATGAACTATAAACAGGTAGAAGTGTACGAAAAGTATTCGCTATTACTGTTTCTTAACGCCGAGCACCAGGTGGGCTGTGGATAGTTGGACATTTTGGGTATTTCCAGAACTTTTGCTAGGATGTGGGTGGACACCACCTTTTTTTTTTTTACTTAACAAAACTGGATATGTCAGCAGTATGATTATTACACAGTGGAAACAAAGGTTAGTTATGTTTTCCCTATCACATTCCATTACTCAGGATCGAGTTCATGTAAAGTGTTGAAATCTGTCAGCCTGAGTTGGGAGATTTCAGTGAAGCAATGGAAACATCATCAAACATACCAGCAAGGATTCATCAGCTAAGAGAAATTCAAAGGTTTCCTTCCAGAATAACCGGATAGGTAATCTCTCAGGATCGCCTCTTCCATACGCAGGAGAAATAGAATTTTTGTAAAGATACCTCCTTCATCCTAGAGTGAAAGCAAAGGAAATTCTGCACAGGAGGCAGAGGAAAGAACAGGAGTAGAGGAATAGAAATATGTATGTCATATGACACATGATATCCAACAACTACACACACACACACGCATGCACGCACACACACACACATACACACACACACACACACACACACTCACACACACACACACACACACACACACACACACACTCATACACACTCATACACAATATCACACAAGAGAGAGTGAAAGAATACTTAGCACTGAAGAAACATCTACTCTCCTTTCCCCATTGGAACAGATTAACTTCTGAAGATGGGTAAATATTTATATTCCTCAACTTCAGAGTAAGAAATTTTAGGTATCCCTTAAGGGATACCTTCAGGGAGCATGAGATGATAATATATTCCAGGAACAAAGTCTTAATAAGGGTCTTCCGTGAGACCGTCTACAGCTACAGCCACAAGACAAACCCTTCTCCTCCTCCGGCATCCTTCACCGACTACTGCTGCTTCTACTACTACTACTGCAAGTTACAATTATAAATATCTCTACAACTACTACAATTACTACTACTACTACTTTCTTCTTCCCCTATATATTGCCTGTCTCTCCTCATGCTTTTTATACATTACAGGTGGTCGAGGTCCAAGAACAACGTCTTCAGTAAAGGCATAATGAGTAAAAGCACTTGTGTCCATTCCTCTCATACTGACGCCAACAGAATACCAAATAGAAGCTTATACTAATAGAAATACACTAATGGTTTTCTACTACCAGTACAGTCCTACCAACAGTCTTATACCACAGCGAGAGAGAGAGAGAGAGAGAGAGGTGAAACTCGGGTAGTTGTTTTGGATACTTCGTTGAAGGTTTCAAATACTTTGTGAAGTATTTCAGATACTATTAGTGGGATTAAAATATTAATCGGAATGTTTCAAAGAAACAAAAAAGGAAACCTATGCATTCAGCACCAGAAATAGTGTGAATTCGATCCACCGTGAGTTTCCTCCACTGATCTAGGATGACTTTCTGATCACTGAGACTCTTAGTGACTGGAAAAAAATAAAATTAAAATTTTTGAATGTGATGGAGGAAGAGGAGACGCTTTATTATTATTATTATTATTATTATTATTATTATTATTATTATTATTATTATTATTGCTGTTCTTATTATTTTTTGATTAATAGGGGTTCTCTGTTCTTTTATGGGTAACACGTCTCCTGAATAATGGGGGTAAAATAAGTTTAATATAAGGAAGGGGAAAGTAACTCAAGTCCCTTGGATGAAGATTGTAGAACGAGAAGAGTCTGAACTCTGCTAGCGAACGTAAACAGGACTGCTCTTAAATTGGAGGGGAAGCTCTAAACCTGTAAATGTCATACACTGCCTGGGGTAATGAAGGTCATAATAAAGTCAGGAACAATTCCTCGGATTAACAGACCCCTCACCGGGGAAGGAAAGGGGAGGGGAATATTATACAGTAATATCAGTATACAATATCAACAAGATAAGGAAACAGACACACACAACACCAGGGTATCATTATTTGAACATTCATCAAGATTAAGATATTGAACATTGGCTTCCAGGCTTAAGGACTGATTACCTCACCTTATACTATTCCCAGTTTCAACTTTTTCCAGTTAACTCAGTATTAAATTGATTAGCCGCTGGTTGGCGAGAAGTCATCAAATAAAAATTCCCAAGACGGAAATGTGTCTAATAGTTCAGCAGGTGGCGTACCTCGGAGCATCGTTGACGAGAGCCAGCTTGCCGAAGTCGTCCCCTTCATGTAGTGTGTTGACGACACCCTTACCATGGATGGCCACGTTAACGGACCCTCTGAGGATGATGTACCATGACTTGCCCTCAGATCCCTGCTGGAACACTGTCAGGGAAGACACATAGGATGATATACCACGACTTGCCCTCAGACCCCTGCTGGAACACTGTCAGGGAAGACACATAGGATGATATACTACCACTTGCCCTCAGACCCTTGCTGGAACCCAAGACTTGCCCTCAGATCCCTGCTGGAACACTGTCAGGGAAGACACATAGGATGATATTCCATGATTTGCCCTCAGACCCCTGCTGGAGCACTGTCAGGGAAGAAAAGCTCAGGGTAGTGTTTGTGGTACTGACAGGGTGCTCATTTGTGTCACCTTCGTTGGTAGTGGTGTCTACAGAGGGGTTATTGATGCCATTATGGTGTAATAGTGTTCTTAGAAATACCGACAGTTTGCTGGGAAAAAGAACACATATGAAACTACGGAAACACTGAGCTGCGGCTACGCTTCGTTCTCTAGGAGATCTGTGGAGCCAATACAAATAATACATCAACATAGCGACAATATACAGTGTAGGAAACAAGTTGAATGAAGAACACAATGTTGTAGTAGCCCAACTGACCCATGTTAGTGGTAGTAGAAGCAATAGTAGAAATAGTAGTAATAGTAGTAGTAGCAGTAGTAGTAGTAGCAGTAGTAGTAGCAGTAGTAGTAGCAGCAGCAGCAGCAGTAGTAGTAGTAGTAGTAGTAGTAGTAGTAGTAGTAGTAGTAGTGTCATCAGGTCGATTTCTCTTAAGCTCTCCTCGTAGGACATACCCCTTAGCTCTGGGACTTGTCTTGTTGCAAACCTTTGCACTTTCTCTAGTTTCTTTACGTGCTCGGCTAGGTGTGGGTTCCAAACTGGTGCCTCATATTCCAACATGGGCCTAACGTACACAGTGTACAGCGTCCTGAACGATTCCTTATAAAGATGGCGGAATGCTGTTCTTAGGTTTGCTAGGCGCCCATATGCTGCAGCAGTTATTTGGTTGATGTGCGCCTTAGCAGATGTGCCTGGTGTTATACTCGCCGCAAGATCTTTTTCCTTGAGTGAGGTTCGTAGTCTCTGGCCCCCTAGACTGTACTCCGTCTGTGGTCTTCTTTGCCCTTCCACAATCTTCATGACTTCGCACTTAGTGAGGTTGAACTCCAGGAGCCAATTGCTGGACCAGGCCTGCAGCCTGTTCAGATCCCTTGTAGTTCTGCCTGGTCATCGTCCGATTGAATTCTTCTCAACTTCACATCATCTGTAAATAGGGACACTTCGGAGTCTATTCCATCCGTCATGTTGTTCACAGATACCAGAAACAGCACCGGTTTTTGGACTGACCTCTGTGGAACCCCACTCTTCAAAGGTGCCCACTCTGACACCTCGCCTTGTGCCATGATCCTGATCCATTGTTGTGCCTTCCCTGTTATCCCTGCCTGGTCCTCCAGTTTTTGCACTAATCTCTTGTGTGGAACTGTGGCAAATGCCTTCTTACAATCCAAGAAAATGCAATTTTACCACCCCTCTCTCTCTTGTCTTCCTGCTGTCACCCTATTATAGAGCTCCAGTAGGTTTGTGACTTAGGATTTCCCGTCCCTGAAACTGTGTTGACTGTTGTTGATAAGCTCATTTCTTTCTAGGTGTTCCACCACTCTTCTGATAATCTTCTCCATGACTTTGCATACTATACATGTCAGTGACACTGGTCTGTAGTTTAGTGCTTCTTTTCTGTCTCCTTTTTTAGAAATTGGAACTACATTTGCTGTCTTCCATACCTCAGGTAATCTCCCTGTTTCGATAGATGTATTGAATATTGTTGTTAAGGGGTACTCATAGTGCCTCTGCTCCCTCTCTCAGGACCCATGGAGAGATGTTATCCTCCCCCCTCCCCATCGCTTTTGAGGTGTGTAGCTCACTCAGCAGCCTCTTCACTTCTTCCTCGGTTGTATGTATTGTGTCCAACACTTGGTGACATACCCCACCTCCCTGTATTTCTGGAGTCCCTTCTGTCTCCTCAATGAATAGTTCCTCACATACTTCTCGGTCGTTTTTTGTGATCTCTCCTCCTTCCTTCCTTAGCCTGATTACTTGGTCCATGACTTGTTTTCCTCCTGATGTGGCTGTACAACAGCTTCGGGTCAGATTTGGCTTTCGCTGCTATGTCATTCTCATATTGTCTTTGGGCCTTCCTTCTTACCTGTGCACATTCATTTCTGGCTCTATGACTGGTCTCCTTATTCTCCTGGGTCCTTTGCCTTCTATCCTTCTTCCATTCCCTAGCACACTTGGTTCTGGTCTTCCTGCACCTTTGGGTGAACCATGGGCTCATCTTGTCATTTTCATTATTCCTGTTACCCTTGAGTACGAACTTCTCCTCAGCTTCCTTGCATATTATTGTTACATATTCCATCACCTCGTTTACTGACTTCCCTACCAGTTCTCTGTCACACTGAACCCCGTTCAGAAAGTTCTTCATTCCCATGTAGTCCCCATTCTTGTAGTTTGGCTTCATTCGTCCGGCTCTTCCTGCACCCCCTCCACTTTTAAGTCTACTATATATTCGAATCTTAAAGCCACATGATCGCTGGCCCCAAGGGGTCTTTCATATGTGATGTCCTCAATATCTGCACTACTCAAGGTGAATACTAGGTCCAGTCTCGCTGGTTCATCCTCTCCTCTCTCTCTGGTAGTGTTCCTTAAGTGTTCTTACATAAAGTCTTCCAGGACCACCTCCATCATCTTAGCCCTCCACGTTTCCTGGACCCCATGTGGCTCCAAGTTCTCCCAATCGATTTTCTTATGGTTGAAGTCATCCAAAATCAGTAGCTTTGCCCTGCTCACATGAGCCTTTCTTGCCACCTCAATCAGTGTGTCAACCATCGCTCTATTACTGTCATCATACTCTTGCCTTGGCCTCCTGCTGTTCTGTGGTTGGTTATACATCACTGAAATTATCACCTTGGGACGTCCAGATTGAAGCGCTCCTACTATGTAATCCCTTGCTTCTCCACTGTCTCCTCTCTCCAGCTCATCAAAATCCCATCGGTTTTTGACCAGCAGTGCCACTTCTCAACCCCCCTGTCTTTCCTCAGGATCTGATATCTTGATGGAAAGATGGCTCTGTTATCATACCTGTGAACTTGGTTTCTGTAACAGCTATGATGTCCAGTGATGCCTCTTTGACTCTCTCGTGCCACTTTCGTTTACCATACCTTTAGTTGCCTCTCCAATACTGTGTTTTGGGGGGTCTGTGAGGGTGGGGGACCTGGCAGTCTACTGTAGAATTCTATAACTGAGTGTTAGGTGGGAGCTGAGGGTGTGGATTGTGGTTTATGTTGGGATAGCATGAATGGTTGTGGGGTTCTGGGGATGGTTCTGTGTGTGCTTGCTCTTGTTGCTCTGCCCTGCTCCGGTTGCCTCTGCTGATTCTGTCCTCGTCTCTCCTATTAGCTCCTTTCGCTCTTGTGTCATCTCCCTCAGCTGCTGTCATTCTGTTTGTGTTCTGTCTCGGTCTAGGAACATCCTCTTGTATTCTGCCAAGTCCTTCAACCGTGGTTTCTTTTGGAGGATCCTGTTCTGCACTGTTTCTGTCCTGAAAATCAGCTTGATCGGTCGATTTCTCCCCTTAAAATACTCCCCTATTCTCTGAAAATTTACAAACTCGGATATGTCCTCTTCACCTATTTCTGTGATGATGTTCTCAATCTCCTTTCTTTCTGCCTGCCGCCTTTCAGTGTGTGTCCTTCCCTTGCTCTCCTAAAGCCCATGAATAAACACTGACTTCACCCTCACCTCCCATTGCCTTTCTCTCTGTGACTGTGGTTCCTGTTTGTACATGGCCATTTTCTCCCTTGTTTTCTCCAGTAGCTCTTGGTGTGTGTGTGTGTGTGTGTGTGTGTGTGTCTGTGTGTGTGTGTGTGTGTGTGTGTGTGTGTGTGTACTCACCTATTTGTGGTTGCAGGGGTCGAGTCTTAGCTCCTGGCCCCGCCTCTTCACCGGTTGCTACTGGGCCCTCTCTCTCCCCGCTACATGAGCTTTATCAAACCTCGTCTTAAAACTGTGTATGGTTCCTGCCTCCACTACGTTATTTTCTAGGCTATTCCACTGCCTTACAACTCTATGACTGAAGAAATACTTCCTAATATCTCTCTGACTCATTTGTGTCTTCAACTTCCAATTGTGGCCTCTTGTTCTGTGTCCCCCTCCCTGGAACATCCTGTCTTTGTCCACCTTGTCTATTCCACGCAGTATTTTATATGTCGTTATCGTGTCTCCCCTGACCCTCCTGTCCTCCAGTGTCGTCAGGCCGATTTCCCTTAATCTTTCTTCATAGACATCCCCTTAGCTCTGGAACTAACCTTGTCGCAAACCTTTGTACTTTCTCTAGTTTCTTGACGTGCTTTATCAAGTGCGGGTTCCAAACAGGTGCTGCATACTCCAGTATGGGCCTGACATACACGGTGTACAGTGTCTTGAACGATTCCTGACTAAGGTATCGGAATGCTGTTCTCAGGTTTGCCAGGCGCCCATAGCTGCAGCAGTTATCTGATTGATGTGTGCTTCCGGAGACATGCTCGGTGGTTATACTCACCCCAAGATCTTTCTCCTTGAGTGAGGTTTGCAGTCTTTGGCCACCTAGCCTATACTCTGTCTGTGGTCTTCTGTGCCCTTCCCCTATCTTCATGACTTTGCATTTGGCAGGATTAAATCGAGAAGCCATTTGCTGGACCAGTTGTCCAGTCTGTCCAGGTCTCTTTGAAGTCCTGCCTGGTCCTCATCAGATTTAATTCTCCTCGTTAACTTCACATCATCTGCAAACAGGGACACTTCTGAGTCTAACCCTTCCATCATGTCGTTCACATATACCAAAAATAGCACTGGTCCTAGGACCGACCCCTGTGGGACCCCGCTCGTCACAGGTGCCCACTGTGATACATCATTACGTACCATGACTCGTTGTTGCCTCCCTGTCAGGTATTCTCTGATCCATTGCAGTGCCCTTCCTGTTATATGCGCCTGATGCTCTAGCTTCTGCACTAATATCTTGTGAGGAACTGTGTCAAAGGCCTTCTTGCAGTCCAAGAAGATGCAATCAACCCACCCCTCTCTCGTGTCTTACTTCTGTTATTTTATCATAAAACTCCAGAAGGTTTGTGACACAGGATTTGCCTTCCGTGAATCCGTGCTGGTTGGCATTTATACTCTTGTTCCGTTCCAGGTGCTCCACCACTCTCCTCCTGATAATCTTCTCCATAATTTTGCATACTATACACGTCAATGACACAGGTCTATAGTTTAGTGCCTCTTTTCTGTCTCCTTTTTTAAAAATGGGAACTACATTTGCCGTCTTCCATACCTCAGGTAGTTGCCCAGTTTCCAGGGACGTGTTGAAGATTGTGGTAAGTGGCACGCACAACATATCTGCTCCAAACTAAGGACCCACGGGGAGATGTTGTCCGGTCCCATTGCCTTTGAGGTATCGATGTCCTTTAGCAGTTTCTTCACCTCCTCCTCATCTGTATGTATGTCGTCCAACACTTGTTGGTGTATTCCTTGCTGGTGTCCCCATCTGGTCTGTCCCCCCAGAGTCCTTCCTGTCTCTACTGTAAATACTTCCTTAAATCTCGTGTTGAGCTCCTCACATACCTCTTGATCGTTTCTTGTGAGTTCTCCACCTTCTTTCCTCAGCCTTATCACCTGGTCCTTGACTGTTGTCTTCCTCCTAATGTGGCCATACAGCAGTTTCGGGTCAGATTTGACTTTCGATGCTATGTCGTTTTCATACTGTCGCTGGGCCTCCCTCCTTATCTGTGCATACTCGTTTCTGGCTCTTCTACTAATCTCCTTGTTTTCCTGGGTCCTATGCCTCCTGTACCTTTTCCATTCTCTGTTGCACTTAGTTTTTGCCTCCCTACACCTTCGGGTAAACCAAGGACTCACTTTGGTCTTCCTATTATTTCTGTTTCCCTTGGGAACAAAACTTTCCTCTGCCTCCTTGCACTTTGTTGCCACATATTCCATCATCTCGTTTACTGATTTTCCTACCATTTCTCTGTCCCACTGAACCTCCTGCAGGAAGTTTCTCATACCTGTGTAGTCCCCCCTTTTATAGTTTGGCCTGTCCCCTTCAGTTCCTGTTACCTTCTCCACTTGTAACTCTACTATATAATCAAAACTCAGAACCACGTGATCGCTAGCTCCAAGGGGCCTCTCGTAAGTGATGTCCTCAATGTCTGAACTGCTCAGGGTGAACACAAGATCCAGTCTTGCTGGCTCATCCTCCCCTCTCTCTCTGGTTGTGTCCCTGACATGTTGATGCATGAGGTTTTCAAGTACCACATCCATGTGTGTGTGTGTTTGTGTATGTACGAAGAGTGAGCAAGAAACACTGCAGAAAGTATGTACTAATGCAGACACGGAGAACTTACATAAAAAACTTACATATCGTTCCCTCTCTGGAGTGGGACTCGAACTTGATAATGGAGGCGAGCTCCCTCTTGACGGAGTTGGAGAGGTGGGAGAGCGCCTTGAGGTGGAGAAGCTCCTCGTAGATGACCTCCTGATCCTCGATGGTACGCTCGTGGCTCCTGCAAGGCAAAACATCGTAAAGAAGACATTATAATGTATACGCTGACGGAGGAATGGAGGCAATGACACAAGACACGTGGAGGAACAGGAAAATGAGGAAGAGGAAGAAGAAAAGAAGGAAGAGCCCGAGGAGGAGGACGACAACGACAACGGAAAGGAGGATGAGGAAGGGGAGGAGAAGAAAGTGGAAGACGAGGAAGAGAAGGAGGAGGAAAAGCCGGAGACGGAGGAGGAGGAGGAGGAGGAGGTCAACGAAAAGGTGGAAGAAAAAGAGAAGGAAATGGAAGAAAAGAAGGGGGAGAAAGAGGAGGAAGAAAGGGATGAGCAGGAAGGGGAGGAAGAAGATGATGAGGAAATGGAAGAGAAGAAGGAGGAGAATGAGGACAAGAATAATGAGGAACAGAAAGAGAAGGAGGAGGATGAGGAGGAGGAAAAGGAGAAAGAGAAGAGGTGGATGAAGAACCTGTAGGAAGAAAGAGGAGAAGGCAGAATAAGAGGAGGGAAACTAGAAGAGGAGGAGGACGAGGCGAAGGAAGAGGAAGAGGAAAAGATCTAGGACGATGAGGATTAAAAGAAGGGAATGAGGAGAAGGAGATTGGATGATGAAAAGAAGGAGGGAAGAAGAACTTGGAGGAAGAGAAGGAAGAAGAGAGAATATGAAGAAAAACAGGAACACAGGAGAAAGATGAGAGGGAGGAGGGGAAGGAGGAGTAAGAAAGAGGAGGGGAAGGAGGAGTAAGACAGAGGGGAAGGAGTAAGAAAGAGGAGGGGAAGGAGTAAGAAAGAGGAGGGGAAAGAGGAGTACGAAAGAGGAGGGAAAGGAAGAGTAAGAAAGAGGAGGGGAGGGAGGAATATGAAAGAGGAGAAAGAGGACGAGGACTAGGAAGATGAAAAGGAGAAGGACAATAACGAAGAGAAAAAAGAGGAGGAAGGAGAGAAAGAGTAGGAGGAGAAGAAAGAAGAAGAAAAGGCCTAGCAGGAAGAGGAGCGGCAAGATGTAGTGGAAAAGAGGAGGAGATGGAAAAGAGGAAGACAAGAGGGAGAGAAGAGGAAGAGAAGAAGGATCAGAGAGAGGAGAAAGAGGAGAAGCAGGAAGAGATGCAGGGAAAACAGAGAAAGAGGAGGAGCAACGAAGAGAAGGAAGAAGGGAAGGAGAAGGTAGACGAGGAGAAACCGTGGCTTGGTTGGCAGTGCATCGTCTTACAAAGTGACCGTGGTTCGATCATCGTGCCGGGGATCGAACCACGGTCATGTATCCTGACACCTGCTGCTCTTTTTCAGCTAGCAGTAAGTAGGTACCTGGGTGGTTATGTTTCCTGACACCTGCTACTCTTCTTCACCTTGCAGTAAGTAGGTATCTGGGTGTTAAAGAGAGGGTGGAGTAGGAGGGAGAAATAAAGGAGAAGGTGGAGTAGGAGGAAGAGATAAACGAGAAGGTGGAGTAGGAGGAAGAAATAAAGAAGAAGGTGGAATAGGAGGAAGAAATAAAGGAGAAGGTGGAGTAGGAGGAAGAAATAAAGAAGAAGGTGGAATAGGAGGAAGAAATAAAGGAGAAGGTGGAGTAGGAGGAGAAATAAAGGAGAAGGTGGAGTAGGAGGGAGAAATAAAGGAGAAGGTGGAGTAGGAGAAACAAATAAAGGAGAAGGAGGAGTAGGGGGGAGAAATAAAGGAGAAGGTGGAGTAGAAGGGAGAAATAAAGGAGAAGGTGGAGTAGGAGGAAGAAATAAAGGAGAAGGTGGAGTAGGAGTAAGAAATAAAGGAGAAGGTGGAGTAGGAGGGAGAAATAAAGGAGAAGGTGGAGTAGGAGGAAGAAATAAAGGAGAAGGTGGAGTAGGAGGAAGAAATAAAGGAGCAGGTGGAGTAGGAGGAAGAAATAAAGGAGAAGGTGGAGTAGGAGGAAGAAATAAAGGAGAAGGTGGAGTAGAAGGGAGAAATAAAGGAGAAGGTGGAGTAGGATGGAGAAATAAAAAAGAAGGTGGAGTAGGAGGAAGAAATAAAGGAGAAGGTGGAGTAGGAGGAAGAAGTAAAGGAGTAGGTGGAGTAGGAGGAAGAAATAAAGGAGGAAAAACATGCAATAAAAGTGTACTCTCCTACGTGTGGTTGTAATGATCATACCTTGTGTGTGTACTCACATAGTTGTACTCACCTAGTTGTACTCACCTAGTTGTACTCACCTAGTTGTACTCACCTAGTTGTACTCACCTAGTTGTACTCACCTAGTTGTACTCACCTAGTTGTACTCACCTAGTTGAGGTTGCGGGGGTCGAGTCCGAGCTCCTGGCCCCGCCTCTTCACTGATCGCTACTAGGTCACTCTCCCTGAGCCGTGAGCTTTATCATACCTCTGCTTAAAGCTATGTATGGATCCTGCCTCCACTACATCGCTTCCCAAACTATTCCACTTACTGACTACTCTGTGGCTGAAGAAATACTTCCTAACATCCCTGTGATTCATCTGTGTCTTCAACTCCAACTGTGTCCCCTTGTTACTGTGTCCAATCTCTGGAACATCCTGTCTTTGTCCACCTTGTCAATTCCTCTCAGTATTTTGTATGTCGTTATCATGTCCCCCCTATCTCTCCTGTCCTCCAGTGTCGTCAGGTTGATTTCCTTTAACCTCTCCTCGTAGGACATACCTCTTAGCTCTGGGACTAGTCTTGTTGCAAACCTTTGCACTTTCTCTAGTTTCTTTACGTGCTTGGCTAGGTATGGGTTCCAAACTGGTGCCGCATTCTCCAATATGGGCCTAACGTACACGGTGTACAGGGTCCTAAATGATTCCTTATTAAGATGTCGGAATGCTGTTCTGAGGTTTGCTAGGCGCCCTTATGCTGCAGCAGTTATTTGGTTGATGTGCGCTTCAGGAGATGTGCCTGGTGTTATACTCACCCCAAGATCTTTTTCCTTGAGTGAGGTTTGTAGTCTCTGGCCCCCTAGACTGTACTCCGTCTGCGGTCTTCTTTGCCCTTCCCCAATCTTCATGACTTTGCACTTGGTGGGATTGAACTCCAGGAGCCAATTGCTGGACCAGGTCTGCAGCCTGTCCAGATCCCTTTGTAGTTCTGCCTGGTCTTCGATCGAGTGAATTCTTCTCATCAACTTCACGTCATCTGCAAACAGGGACACCTCAGAGTCTATTCCTTCCGTCATGTCGTTCACAAATACCAGAAACAGCACTGGTCCTAGGACTGACCCCTGTGGGACCCCGCTGGTCACAGGTGCCCACTCTGACACCTCGCCACGTACCATGACTCGCTGCTGTCTTCCTGACAAGTATTCCCTGATCCATTGTAGTGCCTTCCCTGTTATCCCTGCTTGGTCCTCCAGTTTTTGCACCAATCTCTTGTGTGGAACTGTGTCAAACGCCTTCTTGCAGTCCAAGAAAATGCAATCCACCCACCCCTCTCTCTCTTGTCTTACTGCTGTCACCATGTCATGTGTGTGTGTGTGTGTGTGTGTGTGTGTGTGTGTGTGTGTGTGTGTGTGTGTGTGTGTGTGTGTGTGTGTGTGTGTGTGTGTGTGTGTGTGTGTTTGTGTTTGTGTGTGTGTGTGTGTGTGTGTACTCAGTTGTACTCACCTAGTTGTGGTTGCAGGGGTCGATACAATGATTAGAGAATAAATTAGAAGCATTCTACTATATATAACAGGATCCTGCACTGGCAAGCCAGTCGGCAAATGGAAGAAATCCAAAAGAGGAACATCTCTAGATGGCAGACTGACAAGAAAACTGGTATCAGGTAGGATGGGATTCAATACCTAGTGGTCTAGGTCAAAAACCGACAAGGCTATTCACCTGATGACATTTCACCTCTAAATCGACAGGATGGGACTAACTCTACTAGAAGTCAGGAGAAAGTTGACCTCTTTGCTGAACACTGCTGCCAAGATGGATGTTCCTGATCAAGAAAGGAACTTCCATTGTTTAACTAAAGAACTGTGTCAATGTTGTCACTGGTGACAATAAAGCAGGATGAAGTGTATCTTCCTCATAAATCCATGGATCAAGAAAAGGCTGTGGCTCAGACAAGGTTAGCTGAGTAATAATAATAATAATAATAATAATAATAATAATAATAATAATAATAATAATAATAATAATAATAATAATAATAATAATATCTTTATTTACTACAAGTAGATGTACAAGGTACACAGGCCTAGGTGACATCAATGACATACTACTTTATAGAAAGCCGTTTGTTATGCAGAGCAATTCGGGCAAATTATGTCAGTTTTGTCCCAGGATGAGATCCACACCAGTCGACTAACTCCCAGGTGCCCATTTCACTAATGGATGAATATAGACAACCGGTGTTAAGAAACACACCCAATGTTTCTACCCTCGCTGGGAATCGAACCCAGACTCTCGCCGTGTGAAGCGAGATCTTCAGCCTCCAGGTCACGGCGCATCCCCCAGGCCAAGGAGGGTGCCCCCGTGTGGACCAGTTAACATCAACTCTAACTCGCATCTATCAGCATTGCTAAGCGCAGTGTAAATGGCCTTCTCTTTGGAAAGAAGGAAATGTAGTCCTTGTTTACAAAAGAAAAAAATAGCGGAAATCTGCAGCCACAGACTAGTGTCACTCTTATCATTCTCAAGGCAGAAGTCAGACAATCTCACGACAGAACTCAACGTTTTCCGACTACGGCTCGCTTCTTTGTGACCATAAATATGGCTTCAGGAAAGGTCACTATGATCTGATGTTAATTAAAATTCTACACTATGTGGCACAAGTCGCTGGACGAAACCAAGATTTGCCGTGTAATAGCATTGGACATTGCTGGCGCTTTCAACAGAGAATGGCACCAGAAATCTTAGCAAAAGTTCAAGCACTAGCAGTGTCTGGTTGTACACAATGCCTTCAAGATAGATCTCTATGAATAGTGGCCAATAGGACAGAGTCTTCCCCATTTCATTGTGTTATGTACAATGCTCTCTGGTGCGCACCACTACTTCGGTTCGCTGGTAGCCCTCGTGTCTCCTCTAAGAATGATTCCTT